TGGGGGACTGGGGTGGGGATCAGCCTGGGGATGGGGGACTGGGGTGGGGATCAGCCTGGGGATGGGGGACTGGGGTGGGGATTGGCCTCGGGGATGTAAAAGGGGTTGGGATCAGCCGCGAGGATGTAAAAGTGGGGTCGGGGTCAGCCTCAGGGATGTAGGAGTGGGGTTGGGATTAGCCTTGGGGAGGTAAAAGGGGTTGGGATCAGTCTATGGGATGTGAAACGGGTGAGGATCAGCCTCTGCAATGTAGGAGTGGGGTTGGGATCAGCCCCTGGGATGTAGGAGTGTAGTCGGGGTCAGCCTCAGGGATGTAGGARTGGGGTCAGGATCAACCCCGGGGATGTGAAAGGGGTCAGGATCAGCTCCTGGGATGCATTAATGGGGTCAGGATCAGCCCCTGGGATGCATTAGTGGGGTCAGGATCACCCCCCAGCCCCTGGATTCCCCCGTAACCCCYGTGCCCCGTTGGCAGGCGGGCTCAGCGCAGCAGGACGCCGAGAGATTGGCCATCCCCACCCTACAGCAACGCATCTCCCTGTTCCCTGGCACCCACCTGAGCCCCTACCTGAGCACTACAACGCTGGACAGGGACGGGGGCACTGCACACAACCCTCTCCTGCAGCACATGGTCCTACTGGAACAGCCCACTGCACAAACCCCGCTGGTCACAGGTGAGCKCTGGCAAATGGGGAAACCACCAGGGATCTGTGGGGTCATCCTCAAGGCCCTGCACCATCTGCACCATCTGCAGGTGAAATGTTAAAGCCTTTGGGATATTTTTTTTTTCCCAATTCGGGTGTCCCACCTCATGCTGAGGTGATTTTGGGGAGGTGAAAAGAAATGCTGTTATTCCATCAGGACAGTGAAAGTTGGTGAAAGGCGAAAACTGAAAAAAAATTGAAAAAAATAATTGAAAAAAATGGAAAAAAATAATTGAAAAAAATAATTGAAAAAAATAATTGAAAAAAATGAATTTATTTTTTTTTAAATGGAAAAAAATCGGAAAAAAATTGAAAGAAATTGAAAAAAAGTTGAAAAAATTTGTTGGAGTTCCAAGCAGTTCAGATTAAAGTGGGAGCAAAATTGTTTTGTGTCTTAACAATTCCTGTTTTCCATGAAAATGTGAAAGGCAGGGACTTGGAAAATCATGGATTGGAGCAGTTCCTTGCCATCATTGGTATGAGCAGCCAGAGCAGGCATAATCAGCTGCCTCCCAGCAGATGGGGTTCATTGGTGTGCATTCCCTTCTGGGGACCTTAATGGCTGTGAGTCACTGCATTTTCAGAATCAGCTACCTGTGGCCATGAACAGGCTGGATCCAAAGTGAGAAATCTTTCTGAGATTCCTGGTTTTCTGTGTATACTGGGAAGGCCTGTGACCCTAAACAGGCTGGATCCAAGACCATAATTCCCTCTGGGATTCCTGGTTTTCTGTGTGTAGTKCTGGGATGAAGGATGTTGTGCCTCAATTGTTGATTTTGCTTGCCTTCCTTCCATTTCTGATGGAAGTTCCAGCGAGGTGTCAGCCCCTGGAATCGGCTTGTGGCTGGTTTTACATCTCAATTCCTCAGCTGTGCTGTTCCTGTGGGACAGGTGACTGTGGGTGCTGTCCTTCATGTTGTGATATGGGTCCCGATGTTCCATAGTGCTCATGGAATGTGTTTTGAACAGATTTTCACTTTATTTTCATTTCCAATGGAGTGTGACAGTGTTTAACATGGGCATTGTGCCTTCTCCTGCACCCTGTGCSCTGCCAGGGCACCCAGCACCCATCCCAGCCACTCCAGCCCACAGCAAATCACAGATTGAGGTGATKAGAGTGAACATTCACAGGGTGGGAGGTGCAGCCTTCATTTGCCCCAGGAAGACGAGCCCTGAGGTTTGKTTTTTTTTAATTCAGGAGCTGTCAATCCCATCTATCCTGAGCAAACTGCAAATTCCCAGTTATTGCAGATGAAAAACTCCTGGTGTGGAATGGGATGAGTTACAAGGTTCCTCCCAAACCATTCCAGGATTCTGTAAATGTGGTGTCTCCAGGAAAACTTTCCCAGGATAACCTTGGGGGACGGTTTTTCAAAAGATCCTTTGGAAACCCTGCTGTCTAATTTGAATTTTTGGGAGGAGGAGCTGTGCTGTCAGGGAAAAGGACCACATCTTTGCCAATTATCCCTCTATTCACACACAGACCTGTGTGTGTACACACTGACATTTGTAGAGACATGCATTTATAAAATAAAATACCCTTTCACATGACTCCTGTCAGAAAAGCAGAGAGTGGGAGAAGCTCTTTAATTCTTCCAAGAAAAAAGGCTCTGGCATGAGTCAGCTCGTTCCACGTAGGACAGTTCTGTGAATCGCTGGGAAAAGGGGTCACACAATGGGGACACAAATGTCAAGGTGCTTCTAATCCTCAGCGTTCAGCTGCCTGCAGACTTGTGGGCAGCTGCTCCCTCATCAGCCATGTCCTGAGGAGAGCAGAGGGCTTCTCCCCCCAGTGAGGGACGGGAGGGAGGCAGCAGTTCCGTGGTTCTGTTTGAATCCGAGCTGCAAGGACAGTGAAGGTGTATCATCGGCTGCTCCACCCTCGGGCTGAGCGTTGTGGGACGTGTGTGGTGTCCCAGCTTTCTCAGAACAATGGGATGGTGTGTTTTCAGGGAGCAGAGCCCACCCCAGAGATGTGTCCTTCCTGGAGTTCAGGGCGTATTTCCCATGGCAGCAACACCCAGATGGCCAAGGGCATGTCAGCAGCCCCAATTATCCCCAAATAACCTTTCATTTTTCGTTAACTGCCTGGCATGTCTGCACAGGACAGTGATGGAAACCATTSCAGCTGTTTGTCACCTTGGCCTCTGTCTCACCTTCCTGCCACAGGTGTACTGAGGCACACTGGCAGCTCCCATTTTCCTGAAATAATCCTTTTCAGAGCTCAGATCTGGGCAGGGGGTGTCACTGGGATTTTCCATTCCCCACAATTTCCATGGTGTGGAGCAGGGTGGAGCCAAGGGCGGGTGCTCTTCTTGACCATCATCAAGGGAACAGCCAGGGAGCCCCCAGGGGGGATAACTGCTGGGTGCTGCAGGTACCAGCTTGGATTCAATCTGGKATTAACCCCTCAACCGAGGCAGGATGTGAGGTTAAACTGCTSCAGCCCAGCGTGCTCTCGTGGAGGGTCCATTGCAAGGTGCTGCTGCTTTCAAGAGATGAGATGTTTCCAGAGGGTCTCTGGGTCACTCAGAGTCACAATTCAAACTGAGCACAGCCTTGCTGTGTACAGTGGGAGTTGATTTCTCTGCTGTCCCCCAAGGCAGCTCCAGCTGTGGCGAGGTGGCTGGGTTTGACGTGGTGTCACTGTCACCATCAGCGTTACTCAACAGCCCTTTTCTCCCTTCCTTTCTTCTTCCTCTCGTTTCTCCTCTGCTGTTTTTTCCTCCATATTATCTTCAGACTGGTATCTTTCAGGACTGCCCCTGCACGCACAGCCCCTGGTGGGTGGAGAGAGGGTCTCCCCTTCGATCCACAAGCTGCGGCAGCACCGCCCGCTGGGGCGCACCCAGTCCGCTCCCCTGCCCCAGAACGCCCAGGCGCTCCAGCAGCTGGTGATCCAGCAGCAGCACCAGCAGTTCCTGGAGAAACACAAACAGCAATTCCAGCAGCAGCAACTGCACATCAACAAGGTAGGCACTGCGCTCTCAACGCTTTCAGCGCGCCATTTCGGGGTCTCTGGTGCAGGTGTGTGTGTGGGGTCTGCCTCCAGCATCCCTGGACCTCCCATCCTTGAATCTCTGATTCTTGGACTCTCTCAGGCATGAGAGCATCAGAAAGTGTTTGTGAGTGAAATGATTCAGATTCACTGAAATTTTTGCTGAAAGGGATGTTCAGCCTGGAGAAGGGAAGGATCCAGGGGGACCTCAGAGCCCCTTGCAGGGCCCAAAGGGGCTCCAGGAGAGCTGGGGAGGGACTGGGGACAAGGGATGCAGTGACAGGACACAGGSAATGGCTTCCCAGTGCCAGAGAGCAGGGATGGTTGGGATTTTGGGAAGGAWTTTTTCCCWGGGAGGGGCTGGGATGGAATTCCCAGAGCAGTGGATCCCTGGCAGTGTCCAAGGCCAGGCTGAACAGGGCTGGGAGCACCCTGGGACATTGGAAGGTGTCCCTGCCCATTCAGGGGTGGAACAGGATGGTCTTTAAGAATCCTTCCAAGCCAAACCATTSTGGAATTTGTSCTGTTCTGAGGCTTTCTGAACTCTCCTCCCAAGGAGTTGCAGTGGTGCCTTTCCAGCAATTCCCTCAGCAGATTTGGGGACTCAGGACCAGCCCGTGGCAGCGGCCGCTCAGATCACTGCACTTTTAATTTACAGCCTGGGCTCCTCCAAATATTTTCACCGTTACGGTCCTGCGAAAAAGCACAACTCTCAAGGGCTGGATCAAAAAGGGAAAGAAGCCACAACCCCCCCCCCCGACATTACCCCCGCCAAAAGCCCTTGTTTATGGGCTGGAGCTGGGGCAGGATGATTACACAAGTGACTGACGTCAATGCTGTCCTCCTGGAGCGCTGCCACCGCGGGTGCCAGCCCCGGYCCCGGGTCACCCCCCTGCTCCGGAGGGATCCCAGCACCTCCCCCCCTCCAAACCCTCCTGGGGACGGGGCCCCGGGCCGGGGGGCAGCGAGCTGGGGCTCTTTGTTCAGAGGGAAGTGCCGGCTGCAGGGATTGTTTGCGGGGAGCTTTGGAAGGCTTTTCCAAAGCCTCGGCCGTGACGTATCCGCTGAGCTCATTCCGACTTTCTGCCGGACCTCCCAGGAGCTGCAGAGGCACTSGAGCTCTGAATTCCAGCTTTGTCAGAGCCAGGACCCGCCGCCCTCCGTGGCAGAAGCACCAGAGAGGGTTTAATTAAACCGGTGGCAGAGGGGCGAATTCCCTGTGTTTGATTTATAGGAGTCACGAGTTAGAAAATCRCTGCGTGCGTGTGGCGGATTTATCCCGTGGGACGCCATCCAAGTGCTGACATGGAAAAAGACTTTTCCCAGATGTGGAGATATTTTAGGACCCTTCTGTGTAGGAGAGTTGAGGGCACGACTAAAAATAAAAGAATTGATTATTTAATTATTGACAGGACCAATGGCGCTGCCTGTTCATTTTTTTATTCATGGGTTTCCCGTAAATAATACTCCTGAAGTATTTTATACATTTATATACTYGTAAATAAGGCTCTTCTTAATCCCTTGTGATCTTTCCAAACTTTGAGATTTTGGCCCTGAACATTCCTTGTTAGGTGTCTGCAGCAGATGACATTTTTGAGGAGACTGCAGCCAAAACAAGTCTGGCAGCGTCCAAGAAGGCGACTGAGGAAAAATATTTTGTTTCACTTARAAAGAACCAGAATAATCATTGTGGGGGTTTGATTGTGAAGTTTTGATGCGTGAGGCTTTGCAGCAGTGACTTGGGATTGGAGCAGTGAGGACAGGGAAGGAGGGACACCCTCGGAGGGTGTGGATTCCGAAGTCCCTAGTCTGCCACTGCTGGGAGCAAATTGAGGATTTTTCCCTCTCCTCCAGCCACAGCAGCTCAGGGTGTCCTGACCYTTCCAGCAGGTATGATTGAGGCTGCCTCAGTTGTGTTTCCCCTGCTGTCTCATCTTCAGAAGGGAAGGAAAAACAGAGAAGGGATTTTTGAGGGCTTGGGCCACTGCAGAAGGCTCTGCCTGTTCCCTGCATGRCTGGTGCCCAAGTTGGCCTCTCCCTAACATCCCTTATCATCTCTTGTTTCTCCTTAGTCCATAAAAGTTAAAAATCAGAACCCAAAGGGAACATGGGAAGGGTCAGGTCGAGTCCAAGGAGTTGAGCCTTTATCATCTTTTTTTTCCTTCTGATTTTTCCTCATTTTCACCAAAGCTGTGTCTCCAGAGCTGTTCTGTTTTTCCCTTGAGTTTGTCCTTCACCTCCAGAGAGAGCAAAGGGAGGGTTCTGCTGCCTCCTGCACATCAGGGCTGGGCTGCTCTGACATGCTCCTTTGCTTCCTGGCTTCTCCCTTCCTCTGCTTTTTCTCCTGTGCCACCCCACCTGTGGGGATCGGGGTCCCATCCAGCCCAGAACATTCTGGGATTCCATGATTTTTCTGCTGGGCTCTCCTCATTAATCTGTGAGGTGGAAATAGATGTTTCTAACCTGTTCAGCAGGACCTTCGAGGTCTTCAGAGTCCTGAGAACTTGGCACTGTGGAAAAAGGTATCCTGGAGAAGTTTACTAGGTGTGCTGATATTCAGAGGTTGGATTTGATGGTCTCGGAGRTCTTTTCCAACCTTAAGGATTCTGTGATTCCCTTTAACCCATCCAGTGCACAAATGCAATGCCAGCTGAAATGYTGCTAGCAAAAAACTCAGCTTTTTTCCCCTCACGAAACCTTCCACAGAAAAATGATGAACTCTTTGCTTTTCCCTGAATTTATGGCCTGACTTTGCTCTGGGTTTTTTTGTTGGTTGTTGGTTTGTTGGGATTTTTTTTAGGTTTGTTTTTTTCTTATTTCTCTTCTTCGTATTTCCAAGATCTGGAGGAGAAATCCTGCCAGCTGCACAGAGCCTTTTGAAAATGCTTGTGCCTAGAGAGCTGTAATTTATTCYGGAGTGCAGCCGTTATCTGCCCAAGGCTGGAGAGGCAGTGCCTTCACCAGTGGTTTATGGTGGCACTTTGTGACAGCCAGATGCCGCTGGCTACAAAAACAGAGGAGAAACCTCGTTGGAGAGGAAGCCAGAGAGCTAATTAAGGGATGGGGAAGTTGTTTATGGTGCTTTGTGTTCACTGTTTCAGATATATTTATGAGCATTCTCGCTGCTGCCTKCACAGTCAGGCCCTTGCGCTTTTATTCCCTCCAATTTTCGATTGYTCGAGCACGTGTTTGTAAAATTGCACAAGTGGAAGGTTTTGAGGGAGTTCTAATGGGCCTGGGATGCAGATACTTGGTGYCTGATGTGGAATGTGTTGGTGACAAAGTGTTTTCCCTGCAGAATTGTCCTTTGGGAGCGGGGTTGCAGCAGCTGAAACTGGTGACAGAGCAGGAGATTCCCCTTGCAGAGGGACAGCAGATGGGATGTCTGGAATGTCCTTGCCRTTGACCACTCAGTCTTTCAACCTTTGCTGTGATTTTCATTGAATTCTTACATTTTTGGAGGAGCAGGAATAATTTAACACTTCCAGGGAATTGCGCTGCCTCCCGTTCCCATTAGATATGACAATGGCACTCTAAGTTATTTTTCCCAGCAATTACCTYGTGCAGTTCAGAAGTTCAAAAGGTATTAAGTTCAAAAGCTTGGGACCTTCCATCCAAATGGAAAAAGGAAAAAAAGAAAACAAGTAGCAGATGGTTTATGGTGATTTAATTATCTTTAAAACAGATTCTATTCATCGAGCCTAAGAGGGCTTAAAGAAAATCGGTGGGAGAACTTTCAGCTTAATGTGGTTTGGTTATTCAGTGTGTGTTGTAAGGAGTGAAACTGGGGGGCAGGGGGACCTCAYAAACATCCCTCAGGGGTTTTGATCCTTGAATCTTTGCAGGGACCTCGTGAGGTCACCGGGGGCAGTGTCCCTCCTCCAGCAGGTTGCCCAAGGATCTCCAAGGATGGGGACTCCAGAACCTCTTGGAATAACCTGTTTGATCATGGTCACAGGGAAAAAAAATCTGCATTTTCATGAGTTCAGAAGGAATTTCATGGGGTTAGATTTGTGCCTATGGCCTCTTGTCCTTGCAYGTGTGAGTGAGTGCAATCCCACAGACATCAGGATATCCAGGATTCTTTAAGTGTTGCCTAAACTTGATAATTCCTTCACCAAGAAKTCCTTGTTCCAGACCTTTCCTCTGGTTTCAGAATCCCTCTTAAATCAGGCATTAAGTGCCATGTCCCATGCCACCAGATCCCTTCCCTCCTTCAGCAGTGGCACCAGGATTTCCTTGGCCTTCCTCTTTTCTTTCTTCATGCCCTTCATGGCCAGATTCAGCTCCAGCTTGGCTTTCTTAACATTTTCTGGATTTTTCTGGCATCATGAAGAAGAAGTTCTGTGGCAGAGCCTTCCTTCCTGCTTTTTGGGGAAAAAAAGGTTTAATTCCAGGCTGGAGCCACTGTTCTTCARAGAGCGAGTTACTGACAAACAGTCCCTCCTCCTGCATGTGTTCAATAACCATGGTTGAATTTAGCTTTATTAGATTTAAAATCAATATTGCTTTCCATACCAATGACCTAATCCTCATTAAACCTTGCCCTGACAACTTTCAAAGTGCAGCAGTTTCTTTACGAGCCTGTGAAACAGGGACAGCCTGAGCTCTTTGAAAGGGAGGAAATGGATTGATTTTCCTGCGCTGGAGTTAAAAACAGGTCACGTTTGGGGTTTTATTTTTATACCCCAAATAAAAATCATAAGCGGTCTGAGACAGAGAGCTGTGAATTTTATCTTGCCAATGAACTTACATAAAGTCTGAGTGAATTATAGTGAGAATTAAATTGTTCCTCTTGGTTTAGGAGCTGCTCAGAAAAGTTTACTGGGTCTGGTTGGGAAGGTCAGGTTGGAACAGTGCTGCTCTYGAGGTTTGATCTCAGCTGCATGCCCTGAGTTTGCTCTTCCCAGCTCCATACGAGGTTTTCAAACAATCGCTGCTTCAGCCTCAACAGATGGAACTCAGGGAGTGATTTGAGGTGATGTTGGGCAAACAAATCCCMCTGGAGGGTTTGTGTCTCTCGCATCCTTTCAGAGTTTAATTGGCAAAGATCTCCATGGCTGCTCCGCAGGTTAACGGAGCAACGTTGAGGGTATGGAGGCCAAACACCTCCATGGCTGCTCTGAGGGTGAATGGAGCAGTGTCTGTGGACATGGAGGCCAAACACCTCCATGGCTGCTGTAAGGGTGAATAGAACAGCATCTGAGGGCGTGCAGGCCAAACATCTCCATGGCTGCTCTGAGGGTGAATGGAACAGTGTCTCAGRGTGTGCAGGAATGAGAGGCTCTCACTCTTGCAGGGGGAAGATGAAGTGGAAAATGAGGGGATGTCATTATTTGGGATTTCAAAGCCCTTAATGCCGAGGTTGGCCTGACCTTCCCCTGGATTGTCTGGGCTGTGGGACAAAAGCCATAAATCACAGCTGCTCTTTCCCCAGTTTGGAGGGCAGACTGAGCTTCACCCGTGGCGAGTTGCAGTTCCTCACTGACCAGCTCATCCCCGGGCTGCTTTCAGATCATATCCAAGCCCAACGAGCCGGCCCGGCAGCACGAGAGCCACCCCGAGGAGACRGAGGAGGAGCTGCGGGAGCACCAGGCGCTGCTGGAGGAGCCCTATGGTGACAGGGCGGCTGCGGGGCAGAAGGAGGGCCCCGGGCTGGCCGGCGTGGTGCAGGTGAAGCAGGAGCCCATCGAGAGCGACGAGGAGGAGGCAGAGCCACAGCAGGAGCTGGAGTCTGGCCAGAGGCAGGCGGAGCAGGAGCTGCTCTTCCGGCAGGTGAGGCACCGAGGATGGCACCGGGGGCACTGTCAAAGATGGGTTTGGGGTTTGGAATGATGCCTTAACAGCCTTACATAGAAAACGAACCAAGAGAATAAAAAGCCTTTCTATTTCATGAAGGGCCTTYAGGTGCAYTCAGGRCAGTCCCACACCCRCAATGGACAATGGCTCACGGGTTTTTCACCCTTTCTCACTTTTGYCCATTTGCACATCGGGGCTGAATCCTCCAATTGCAGCTGCAGCCAATGCAGTCAYTSACTCCAACTTGGCTCCCCCCAATTCTCTGTTGTTTCCATCTCTTGGGSCCTGGCMCAGGGAGGTGTCCTTGAGTTTGGGGCTGCAGAGGAATTTTTTGTGTGAAAATGGGAGAKCAGGAGCTCAGCACTGTCTGTGGAGTCYGGAGTTATCCATTGAAAAATTCCAGGATWGGAGATACATGAAAATCGAGAAGCTAAAATCTTAAGGCATCAGAAGTCACCTTGTGCTGCCCAARGGGGAGAATCTAATGGGATCCAGCTCTTGAGGTTGGTGTGTGAAGGAACCCGGTGTAAAACCAAGTGGTTCAATCCCTGCCAGGGAGGAGAGTCTGGATCCCCTGCACAGTCACTGTGCTCACAGCCTCTGAGATGCTTCTGTGGTTGTTTCTTTGGGAAGACAAAGTGTGTCCTAACATTTCTGAGCACTGGTCACCAGGAGAGGGTTTTGTTTTGGTGTAATGCTTTAAAACTGCTTGCTCCAGGGAAGGGCTGCATGAGGGAGCAGGGAATGAGGTGCAGTGGAGGGGGTTCCTGTTTCAGCTCAGTTAAAAGCTCCCTCTCCAGCCCAGGATCCAGCTGAGCTGGGCTCATTCCATGGCCTGGAGTGTTCCATGCCCCAGTGCAGCAGGGTGGGAGCACAAGGGGAGGAAGAGGAGGGTGTTCTGGGGGAGGATGGAGCTGCCTGTGCCATCGACCCTGTCAGTGTGCACCAGGGCTGTGCCTGCCTGAGCTGGCGCTCGAAATGTCCCATCTGCCAGCCTTCAGAAACCCTTTTGAAAGACCCCTTCAGCAGCTGCCTGCTTCTGTTCCCCGCAGCAAGCCCTGCTCCTGGAGCAGCAGCGGATCCACCAGCTGAGGAATTACCAGGCGTCGCTGGAGGCGGCCGGMATGCCCGTGTCCTTCGGGGGGCACCGGCCCCTGTCCCGGGCACAGTCCTCCCCCGCCTCGGCCACCTTCCCCATGTCCGTGCAGGAGCCACCCTCTAAGCCAAGGTTCACAACAGGTGAGCTTTCGGGGGGCTGGGGGAGCCTGGGGGGCACTGCTTTGTGCTGTTCCCAGGAAAARGGGAATAGCTTTAGGCTGGGAGTGAGGTTAGATGGGATATTGGAAGGAAACCCTTCCCTGTGAAGGTGATACAGCTGTGGCTGCCCCTGGATCCCTGGAAGTGTCCAAGATGAGGTTTGGATGTGGCTTGAAGCACCCTGGGACAGTGGAAGGTGTCCCTGCCCTCCCCACAAGATGAGCTTTAAGGTCCTTTCCAACCCCAGCCATGCCATCATGAGGATTCTGTGATTTTCCTCCCCATCCCTAYGAACCCTTCAGCGTGGGCTGTGCATTTCATCCACATTTGGGTGCTCCATAACATCCTGCCTTCCTCAAGGAGAAGATTGAGTCATCCCTGTTGTCCCTCTTGTCCCTTCCYGGAGCAAAAATAACCCTCACCCACCCCCAGCAGCAGCAGCTCAGCCCCAAGCTGTGTCTGCAGGCAGGCAGAGCAGCTCAGAGGATGGGCAGAGCTGATTTCCAGGCCAGGCAGGGAGAGCCAGTGCTCCTGGAGGACACAGAGCCAAAGGCAGCGTCTGCTGGCTCCGTTTCCTCCACCTTCCCCAGCCCTCCATCAGCTCATGCCATGAGTTAGCCAGCCCGGGCTCCCTGCCAGCCTTCCCTCCTGCTGGAATGGGGGAGGCTGTGTCTGCAGGGGAGGAAAAATGAGGTGAGCTGGTGATTTCACAATGGCTGGAAGAGACAAAGAGACCAGAGAGGGTTTGCTTAGCTGTGAGGGAGAATGATGAGTGCCACCCTGCATTTGTCTGCTGGAAAGCACAAGTGCAGAAAAGGTGCTGATCCCCAYCYCTGGAAGCGTTCACAGCCAGGTGGGAGCAGTCTGGGACAGTGGAAAGTGTCCCTGCCCATGGTAGCAAGGTGGGCTTTAARGTCCTTTCCATACCAAACCATCCTGGGATTCTGTGATCTCCCCACCAAGGTTAAAAGCAAAAAACAAACCATTCCTCCTGTGCCCTGACAACCAACGTTTCTCCAAAATCCTTTCTGCCTCTTCAATGCCCYTAGCAACAGCTGAAAGTTGATTTTCTGTGCAACTTTTCCGGCCCCGTGCTGGGTGATGAGGACTGATTTCGAAGTCCGCCTTCTTCCCCCAAATGTCAGCCTCTTATTTTGTGAATGARCAGTTTGCAACGTGATGTGTTCCCTGGGAAAAGGGAAAAAAAGCCCACAACGCCCAAATAAGAGCGACTCATGGTGTTGTTTCCCTCTCACTTCTGCTTTTATTCCATTTTTAACCTACGCTTCTTGCATCATTCAGCTCAGTGCTGGGTTTATTTTTGGGCCCTGCTGGTGTAGTAATAGTGGCATGTTCGGTGTGAGTTTGTTCCTCAGCCCCTGGTGGCAGGCAGGGTGGGAAGCGGGTGCTGTCAGCTCTGGAAAAAAACAGGGAACAGCTCAGTTTTGCAAATCAACCCTTTAAAGTCTTTATTGTTGTTCATGTTGAATCCTGGAATCTCAGCAGAACCACGTTTCTGACGCAGTCAGCTSTAGCCAGGTTGGTAGATTTTGGGTTTTGCCAAGGGTGTGAGGAAAAGTCCCCTGGCTCAGGGTCAGACCTGATGAAACTTGAGCTTCTAATGCACTTAACCCCAAACCTCRGGGCTGTAAAAACAGAGAAGCCTGGCCCTGCTCGAAGGGATTATTCATGGCTGTTCTTTCTTCCCTCCTCCTCTGCTGGTACTGAAGTTGCCCCATCAATCACACTTTGGATGTACAATAAATAACATTTCCTATCGAGGATCTGTGTTTGACTCAGATCTGCGCCTCCGAATTTCATTCAGAATTGCAGGCAACAGGAAGAGTGCAGATTGGAGAGCTGTGCTGCTTGGAAAAGATGCTGTTCCRGTGTTAGGATTTATTTTCCTCGCAGGCAGGGTTTCAAAAACAAAAATGTGACTTAAAATGAGAGGTGAAATATCCAGCACTGCAGTGTGATGAGATGAGGAATGCTGCAGGTAGTTCACCTGGGAAATATCCTTTTTACAGTATTTTTTCAGGGTAAGATTCCAAGGGCTTGACTTTTCTTTTCCCTTCCATCTCTGCATTTGTGCTGGGTGAATGGAKGAGGAAAAACACAATTAAATGCTGTCCAGGGAGCAAATGTCAGRCATTCACTGTGGCACTAATTACAGTGCCAAGCATAAAGGTGAGACCTCTGTACCAGTCCTAAAATGAGTCCTTGGTCTTGTAAGAGGTGCAGGACTGGTTTAATTAACCACCAGTGTCTGCTCAGGAGAAGCAGGGGAAAAAAATCCTCCCTGCCATGGGCATGGAAGCAGGAGAAAGGGAAGGGAAGGCATTTCAGCTGCTGGGCACGTGTGTGAGTGCGACTGGCTCGTGTTTTGTTGGAGCTGTCCACRGCGGCGCGGCAGAGATTGCATTCCTGGAGGTGGATGCTGAAGCTTAATCACCGCGATTGAGCCGCTCTTCAGGAGGCAGGAAATGAAAGTCTTGGGTGTTTTTCAAAGCTGAAGTGCATCAGGCTGCTTTTTGCTGAGGAAAATCCATCTGGCTGAGAAGTGTCTGCTTTGGAGACTGATCCCAGAGCTGAGGAGTGAGGATTGGAATTGGTGTGGTGGTGTGGGGAGGGGGCTGCAACAAGCAGACCACACTGAATGGCCCTCGATAAGCCAGCCCTGATCACTCTGGATGTCAGTGAGGCCCTTAAGAGATCACTCGTGGTCCTACAGACAAAGGAATTGTTTTCCCCTTCATGTTGGGGATATTCTGTAGGAATAATACAGAAAGCTGATGCTTTCCCTGCAGCGTGTTAGCTCCGAAACAGCTGGAAATTCTGGGGTTGAAGGAATTTGATTTTCCTGTCTCTCTGGGTGACCAACACCTGAGACTTCAAAGATGCAGGGGAAGGAGGCACATACTGCACCTCTCAAACGTGATGTCCATTACTCCACATCAAAGTGAAAGCCGTGCCCTTGCTGAATCCCTGCAGCAGTCGGTTTGATGTCCTGAACCATGACATTTAATTTTCCTTCCTCCCAGAAAGCCAGTCCTTGAACTTGCCCTCTCCAGCTCGAGCAGCCCCCGTGACTTTAATGAATACTTGTGCCTGCCCTGTTCTGCACACTTGAATAAGGATCCTCAGGTTAGGCCATTAATTTGCATAGCTCCAATTATCCRGTCTCTGATCTCCTGCAAAAATGGGTCCACAAATTATTCTGATGTTCTGCATTAAAGGGTTTTTCCTTTCTGATGAAGGCATTTATTCTCTCCTGTGCAGAGCAATGTAATTATCTGAACCTCAGATCATATGTTTGTTCTGCCAAGAAAAGCCAGTTGGTTTTGCTTTAGTGCTGACCTTTAAAAATGATTGTTCTTATGTCTGAAAAGAGTCTTGCTTCCAGCACCACTTCAATTAACTTGTAACAGCCAGCGCACTTTTGTATTTTAAGCTTAAATTGCCCAGCTTCCCTTTCTCTTGTGTGAGTGTGTCTGTGGGAACTGGGAACTGGAAACTGGGAACTGGGAACTGGAAACAGCTCCCTTTACCAGTGGGTTTGTTTCTAGGAAAAAGAAGGGATGGGTGATTTGTGATTGCAGAACAGAAGGGCCTCACTGTTACCTGCTGTTATCACTGAACTCCTGGTGTTAACACTACTGGGAAAGGAGGAACCATTGATCACCCAAATTCTGTAAACACCAGGTTTGGGGTGAGAGAGACTCCTTGGGTGATTTGGGTTGGAAGGGACCTTGAAGGTGATCCAGTCCCACGGGCAGGGACACTTTCCACTGTTCCAGGTTGCTCCAAGCCCCATCCAAACACTTCCAGGGATGGGACAGCCAGGCCCTCACCACCCTCACAGCCAAGAATTTCTTCCACAAACCCAATCTAAATTTCTTTAAGACCTCCCACTTGTCCAAATAAGCTCAGACTGGGGCAAAAGCTTCTCCTCAGGTGATCTGAGCTCTCCTTGGCCCAGCAGCTCCTGGTGGTGTTTGATGTTGGGAACCAAACGTGGGAGACCTCRACAGAGCTGTGCAGCACAAGCTGTGAAGTTCTTCTGGGTGAACTTTGGCTGACCTGTGCCAGACAGTTAGCAGGGCTCTGTTCTTTCCCTGGAACCCAGCAGGGGTTGGCTTTTGGGGGTATTTTTCCCTCACCTACAGCAGAGCRAGGAGCTGCCAGACACCTGCCCTGAGGCTGGAGAGCTGCAAGGGTCGGGGCCAGAGCAGGGAGCCAGGTTTGCCACTGGCAGAACGAGCCCACAGCCAGCCAGGAGGGTTGGGAACGAGCCCACTGCCAGCCAGGAGGGTTGGGAACGAGCCCACTGCCAGCCAGGAGGGTTGGGAACGAGCCCACTGCCAGCCAGGAGGGTTGGGAGCGTGCATGGGCACAGCCACAGGTTTGGATTATCAGCTCCCCATGCCTCCTGGTCCACTGCAGCTCCATGCCCAGGGCTGTTCTCGGGGTCAGGCTGCCCTCAGGGGCTCTGGATTCTCATCAACACCTTTGGATTCCAGAGAAATCATGGAAAACCTTGGGTTTTCCCAAGGAAGGATACCCSGTTTGAAACCTGTGCCACAGGCAGGGACACCTCCCACTGTCCCAGGCTGCTCSCAGCCCCAATGTCCAGCCTGGCTTTGGGYACTGCCAGGGATCCAGGGGCAACCACAGCTTCCCTGGGRATTCCATCCCAKCCCCTYCCAGGGAACAATTCCTGCCTAAAATCCCATCCTGGGAGCCATTCCCTGTGTYCTGTCCCTTCATCCCTTGTCCTCAGTCCCTCTCCAGCTCTCCCTGATCCTTCCCTTCTCCAGCTCAACACCCTCAACTCTCACAGCAGAGGGGCTCCAGTCCTTGKGTCAACTTCCATACAGGTATTTCCTGTGAGAAACTTTTTCTTTCCAGAAAAAAAGCCCAAACCAGCCACTTTTATTCTGTTTTCTGGAGCTTCTGGCTGAAGGAAAGATTTATGTAAACATTGAACTTTGTGTCTTTTGCTCAAGAGAAAAAATGAAAGGTCTTTTGTGGCTGGGGAAGACCTGGTGTTTTCATCCTGTTTGGAATCCCAACTTCCCTTTCCAAAAAGGCAACTCTGGAGTGAATTGAAGTCTCATGCCATAAATCCTTGGGAATGCAGGGGGAATAACCTGCCTGGRTCCCTCCTCAGAGGAACCAACAGGGCTGAACATCTCCGTGGGTGCTGCGTATCCCAAGTGGGTGCTAATGGCCTTAATTAGCTAATTAGTGCCATGCAGAGGCTTCAGCAGAACTGCTTGGTGAGACATCACCCCATCCAATGACTGGTTCCTTATGGGTTGAATCCCAAAAGCTGGAGCTGTTTTGGCATCTTGGAAAAGTCCCAGATCCCATATCCCACATCCCACATCCCAAATCCCAAATCCCACATCTCAAATCCCATATCCCATATCCCAAATCTCATGTTCCATATCCCATTCCCCATTCCTGTGCTGGCACCTGTGCACTTGCAGATGTCACCTCCTCATGCCCCTTAATTTCGTGCTGCCACTGATTTCTTTTYCATGTCCCTTGAGGATTTCCATGGAAGGGATGGATGCAGGTTTCGATTTTCAGCTCCCCTGTGGCTTCTGGTCAAACACACAATTCTGCCCTAGAATTAAACTGCAAAAGATGCTTTTTTTTTTATAACTAGCGATTTTTTAGCTTTTTTTTGCCCCTGAGAGCAGTTTTGTCCCCTCTGCCGCAGGCCTTGTGTACGACACGTTGATGCTGAAGCACCAGTGCACCTGTGGAAACACCAACAGCCACCCCGAGCACGCAGGCAGGATCCAGAGCATCTGGTCCAGGCTCCAGGAGACGGGGCTGCGGGGCAAGTGTGAGGTGAGGAAAGCACCARCAAAGGCCACATCACTGGTTTTTATTTATTATTATTATCATCAGGATCAT